CTTCATTATATATTTCTCTTTTTAGAATCTGCGTATGGCTAGTTTTTATTAAAGAAAAAATTTCAATATTTTTAAAGCCATTTTTTTCAAATAGTCTTCTCTTTTAAATGGAAATTCAAAATATTAAAAATTCGTTTTCATCATAATCTATAAAATTGCATTAACCACTTATGTATTTATGTTTCATGAAACATTTATATATTTATTATAAATGTAAAACTTATTTAAATAGCCAAACACCATCTTTTTTTTATTACGACACTTTGATGCAATAAGATACTGGCATTTTTACAGAAATTTAATGGCCATACACACACTGATGCTGTAAGATTCAACAAGTATCACGTCACATACACAGGACTGCCACCATTTTTTTGCATACAACCGGAAATCGCATATGACGCAAGTCCTAGTTAGCAATCTAGTTTAGTATAGACATCTGTGTGCGTTATGCATATGGTATAATATTCTATTGTTATTGATATGCCTACAATCAATAAATATATTAAAGTTAAAACCTGTTCAAATAAATTTGTATATATAGATGTTATACACATATACAAAAAGTCAACCAATGCGTGTAGAATTTTACATTTTTATATTTACATTTTTATATATTGATTTTTGATCCCAGAATCGATTCACTGGATTAATCGAAGCTGTAAGATCGATTTAAAAAATCGAGAATGAATACAAAAGAATCGATTCTTTGAAAGATCGATTCAAGATTGCTCATCCCTAGTTGTTGGTGCAGTCAGTGCGCATTATGCGCGAAATAGAATTTATCTGTGTAGTAGATTTCATTTTTAACATCTCTTGAAAACCGCTTTAATTTTTTTATGTGTGTCGAGAAATATATATCGTAATGGATGTAAAACAAAAAATTATTCAAAAGTTTAACGAACAGTTGGGGTCGAATTTAAAAAATCTTGAAGGAATCTATGATTTTCAAGAATGGCTCAAGACGGAAAAAGATGAAATTGAAAAATCAGTCAGTACTTAATTAACTTAAAGTAATGTGACACCTTCCATATTAATTGGTTTTTAATCTTTAGTTATCGATGGCATCAACTACTACTCCCTCAAAAGTGAAAGCAGTGATTGAGAATGTAGAACATGTTAGTTATGAAGTTGAACAACTGCAGAAAACCTGCATAGATCTGAAAAAGAAGATTAAAGAGACATTTAATGAGAATGATACAAATTTAGAGCTGCAAGAAGTTATTGATAAAATAGGCCAGCTAGATAAATCATTATCCTATTTGTACTTTATAAGATACATAGAAAATATTAGGTAATAATTTGTTAAAATATATAACATATAGAATATTTTATTATTCGTCTACTAGCATAACACTTCTTATTCAGTGACAAAATAGAAGCATTCTTATCATCTGGCGACGATGAGTCTACAATAACTCTGTATACAAATCTAACAAACATCAGCTGCCAATTGCAAACATCTGTTTGTCATTATCTGATCAATTATGTTCATGAGACTTTACATTTTTGGCATAATATAATTAAGGAGAAATTATCAAAGTATGTTTTCTCTCTTGAGTATATTCAAAACATTTATATATATCCTATATTTTCTAGATGTAATACTTACAGGGAATATAATGATTTATTGAAGATATTAAAATGGCCTTTCTGTGGAAGTAACGCCACTTCATTAAATATATCTTTGCCAGAAACAATGACAAGATTTAAGATATTAATTGAATATCTTTTTCACCTGCAATTACCGTATCCTTATAATAATATATAATATATAATTATATAATTTATTCTGAAGAATTCATTACAAAGTAAATCAATGAAATATCCTTAATATACTTAGAGAAGAAATGATAAAACCTGTAGTAACATCTGTGTTATTAACAGATTTTGCGCCAATCAGTTTACCAATTATTCTTTTAGTACGTCCTCTTCGACAGAGGTTTATTTATCATTTTACAGGAGCTAAATTGACGAATCGTCAAGATAAGCCAGAATGGTTTTTTACACAAATATTAACATGGATTAAAGACCATGTTAAGTGGATACAAAAAAATATTCAACCTATAGCTGATTCTATAGGTTTTGAACATTTGGATACAAAGGTTGGATGTAACAATAGAATTCTAATATATTAGCTATTAGTATTATTTCTAATCTTATTGTGATATGTTAATAGGCCGAATTTATGCGCGCTTTAGTTCAGTTAGCCGTTGAGAAACTTCATTCCGAATTGGCCATAGTACAATATGATGACACTTTATTTGCACATTTGATTGATGAAACTTTAGGATTTGAAAGAGAGCTACGAGAGACTTTGTTGTATCCTCAAACACAACCAGCTACTGTTTTTGTTCTCACACAAGCCCATATTTTTGTTAAATGGATAAACATGGAGAAAAAATGTGAGAAAAAGAAGCAATTTCATATTTTATGTAACACATTTTATGTAATACTCTAAATGTATGTATTTATACTGTTTAGATGCAACTGAAAAAATGGATGCAATATTAAGCTCAAGTACAGCGTGGGAAAGACTGACAGGACCTGACATGGATGATATGAAAGTTACTGAATGTGCAGATGCCTTCCTCACACTTCTCACTACGATTTCTGATAGATATAAACACTTGCCTCAACCTGGACATAGGTAATCATATAAGCATTGTAAGCAAGAAAGATAGCTTATGTTAATATTGTTGAAGATTACAGTTTCTTGAATTGCAATTGGAATTGATTGATGATTGGCGTGTACGATTGTTGCAATTATTACACGAGAATTACGAAGACCCGTTAACATCGCTTATGCCACATATTCTCAATACGCTACATTATGTCGCGACTGTCTTGGAAGAATGGGGTGTAACTGTTGTATGTATTTTCAGCTATAATTATACACAAAAAAATGTGACATTCATATTTCGCATTTGTGTAGCATTTCTTGCAACTACAATTCTTCAAGAAGCAATTCGAAACTGTAGAGAGTGCCACTGACAAAGGTAACGACACTAGTGAAAGTATTGGAGAAGTAGAGGGAACTGTCTTCGATGAAGCTGTAGTTCTCTTACAACGATTAGAGAAGGAATTGATAAATGAGATCAGTGATTCGGTAGCTTTAGATGTAAAGGCAAAAAGTAGACCTTATAGGACAGACAAGTAAAGATTTGCATTATTTACTGTTTACAATTATTTTCTGTTTATTTACAAAATATTTTTTATTCCAAGATGGTTTGCAATGCAATCTTCTAAAGAAGTCGCTTCATTATCGGTAACATCAAGTGGTTGTCCTATGTTCCAAGAGTTAGCTATGCGTCTCCACATATTGCATAATGTTCTTGCCCTGCCGTTGTTTAATCAAGCTTGGAAAAATTTAGCAGCTCAATTTGATCAAGTATGCGAAATGAAAATAAGGAAAAGTAAATTTCCCTATAATTTCTAATTCTTCTTCTTAAATATTTTTCAGTTTCTGTTCGAAGAAGTTGTGCTAGTAAATCATTTCAATAATGGCGGTGCCGAACAATTACAGTATGATATTCTGAGAAATCTATTTCCATTATTTGGCTTGTATATTAATAAACCAGAATCATACTTTCCTTTGTAAGTCTCTAAAAATATTAAAATTATTTATTTTGTTAAAAGTGATTCAATAATTTACTTAATTTAATGTTCTAGAATTAAGGAAGCGTGTATACTTTTAAATATTTTAACGGGCTCAGCAATATTGCTTCAAGAAGCACTCAGTAATAACGATAAAAATACATCAGAAATTTTAGCGGACGTTGGAGTGCACAAAATATCTGCTAAACTTGCTCTAAAAGTAATAGCAACAAGGACAGACATTATCCATATATGAGTCTTTCCTTCGAATCTTGTAAAAATAAAATTTATTGTAAATTTTTCATGTGTTAAATTAGATATATTTTTCTATTTTTTCTCTTTAAATATTTAATAATAGTTTAATCGTGTATGTTCTGTAAATAGCTTTTTTTAACATAATAGCGTAATTACACCGTTATCGGCGCCTAATAACAATAACTGATTGAGAGGAAGAATAGCCATGGCAGTAAGAATGCCTTTAAAAGCATCAGATTTCAATTTGGATGAGCTTAACGAAGCTGTCATTTCTACAGCGGTATAGACGCCAATTCTATTTGCCGTTGTACCTATCACTAATGCCTGTTCGTGCATTGCCATACAATGAATAGGTTCTGTTGCACCTCTGAAAATTAATAAAAAGCAATTGTAAATTACATTTTGTATGCCTAATTTTAAATAATAACATCAAATTTTTTTACTTCAAGTGAAATTTGAGTTTTCCATCTATTGCACTCCACACAGCTATAGTTTGGTCCAAAGAAGAACTCACTATGGTAGTTTCATTTATCGCTTGTAATTGCAGGATCTGTAGTTACAATTAAAATCAGTACTGTAGTTACAGTTAAAATCAGTAATCGATAATCAATCAACGAATTTTCATATTATCGTTGATGTCATTGATAAACTGTTAATCTATTAATTAAATCTATTACCTCACATTCATGTCCTTTCCAAGATGCGATAATTAAACCAGTGCGAATATCAAGTATTGTTAAAAAACCTGACGCTTGACCTAAAGCGACCCAATTACCACTAGGAGATACTGCGATACATCTTATTAAACCAGTTGGATTCATAGAAACCTTATCAATTACAATGTAATGTCAAACTTTATATAATTATCGACAATATTATAATTACAAGATATGTAATCGATATATATCTTTTATGCTTACTTTCATTTCATTGACGTATTGGAATGTTCTACAATCAATAACTCTAAGGGTAATGTCAGTTGTTCCCGCAAGAAGAGTTGTAGATGGAGAAGGACTTGAGGCTAAAGTATTCACAGGTAAAGGACGATTACTTTCTGGACATCCCAGAAGCGAACCCATAAAAGGATCCCAACAGTGAATCACTCCATCGCATGTTACTGCGTATCTCAAAGATTCTAAGAATGTGAGAGATAGAATAGACTTTTTATGTCCAGTATATGTATATTGACACGATGAGATTGTATTTCCATCACCCTAGTTGCACAGTATTGGTAAAAAATAATTCATTATAGATATCACACAATAGAATATTTTATTAAAAAATATCAAATAGAGCATATGTTACCTGGCTTCGTAAACTCCATAATTTTACAGTTTTGTCTCTGCCACCACTCATAAAACTATTTTCATTATCTAACACGTAAAGACATCTTACGCTATTTGTATGTCCGTTGAAAGTCTGAAGTTTTATCTGCTTTATATTAAATATTGTATCTTTTTCTGGTCTACCTATCTCATGCTCCCAATATGCCAGCCAATTACCGCGTAGTTGTCTGCCAGCAGATAATAGACAAGTTGTCTCACGATTAGCAGCAACATTCGTCTCCATTGCTGATTGGGATTTTGTATCATCTTTCTGTATCTCGAATCTATTTCCTATCACAGATATATTTCCAAAGCTGCAAACGCCTTTATCAATCGATTCTACATTTTCTGCTATGTCGCAATCCACGGAAGTATTGCACTTATCCATATTATCTTTAACAATGAGATACAAAGATAAATATATTTATATTTTATTTGCAATGGCTAATGATTGCATGCAAATTTTATGGTATATATATACCATTGCTCGCTGAAATCCCTTTTATTTTTTGTTCGTAATCGTGACAAAGTTCTTGTATATGTTCGTGATTTTTGAGAATATGCTCCATCATTTCAGTATCTACACATCTATAAAAAAGCATGTATGCTTTATGAGCAAACTCAGTGGTGAATACAGCTCGTAATTCTTCAAATGCCTGCATACAAATAAAAAGTTAAATATATATTTCTTTAAATTTATACCAAAAAAATATAAGTCGTAAATTATACAATCTTACTCTATTTCTTTGTAAATCCGGTATGTCGTTTTTTACAACGGGAGGGGAATACGAATCTGCAATATCTGTATCAAGTTTGTTCCATATGTAAATTCCACTATTAACAGATTCTTCTTTCGTCCTATATATGGGTGAAATAATAAAAAAGATATAAACATCTCTACATATCATTGGTTTGTAATAATTAAATCATAATACTTGTCTATTTGTATTATTACCGTATAAAATGTTCACAGGTTACGTCTACTTTTTGCTCTAAACTATCTGATGAAATTCTGTTGTCAATATTTTCATTGAAAGCTTTGTCAAAGGCTAGAAAGAAACGTTGAATTGGCACTGCTAAATGATTTTTCGTCATTACACTGCCAAGTCGTAAGCTAAGAGTAAACATCGCTTCTAAACATTTTTCAGCCAAAGCAGCACGTGCAAGTATTCCATTTGAAAATGTAAATCTCGCGGTTGAAAGTATACGTACTGTGGGATGCAAAATGGATTTAACGATCGGTTCCTATTGAGAAATGAACATATGAGCATTATTATAAGTTTTTAATTATATTATTATAATATATAATAATAATTATATAATAAACATTACATGAAGCACGTCCATCAATGTAGAATCGCTAAGATATGCTATAATGTGATTTAATAGAGCCAAACAAGAAATCAAACCTCCTTCCAAATTCTGTGTTAACTTCCTTTTACACAAAGCTAATAGCTCAACCATATGTGCAAAATATTGCAGCAATATAATTTGTTCTCCATACAATCCTGATAAAATGATTGACAAACTGTCGTTATTTATAAAATTAAAATAACTCGCATATTTTTACACATACCTGCGATAGCTGTGAGGCATTCTAAAACCTTAACAGCATTTTGATCACCAGCTAATATGGGTTTTTTCCATGTAACATCTTCCAAACATACGAAATTATTGTCATCGATTGATGTTAAATTTTCTTTTCCGGCGTAACATAACGTAAGCATTCTTAGAAGATTGCGTGACAAGTATCGTGCCGTTAATACCGGGCCGAGTCTATGAGATAGCCAAATAACAGATTCTGCACTCATTTCGGAAATTGTACATTCACTTGGAGTAGATTTTTGATAAATATGATCCAATTGATGTAGATTCTCATTGGATTTGATTGCGTCGCACTTGTTCCCAGATTGTTCCACGGGAAGCATAGCAGAATTGTCTTCCTTAGTATCTATATTGCATATATTTTCCGAATGATTACTATCAGAATGAATATTAGAATATGCGCTAACATAAGTAAAATCTTCACTGGAAGTTTTACTGCCGACATTGCAACCAATACTGTTAAATTCGGTTACTAACTTAGTCCCACTGGTATTTGATTTAGGTATTGGAATTGTTGGTGATTTGATAGAGCCACTCGGTGAATTTTTGTTTCCATCATCATTTAAATCATCGCAAACATTTAGATTGAGATCTATATGTAGATCTATATGTAGATCATATGGTGCAGTATTATTTAAAGAAATCCATGAATTATCCTCTGTTTCCATAGTAAATACTTCTGAAATACATTCAATAAAAATTAGATTTTTTACAAAAATAGTTATTAACGATTCATTTAATCACCAATTGATATTACCTTCAATATCATTGTCTGTCATTGTATTAAATATATGATCATTGGTTGTTGGTTGGACAACATTACGTTCAGTATCTGTAAAGGAATCTTCATCTAGGGGAGATAAAATTCCTTCCCCCTCACTGCAGGGTCCACTTAAGTCACAGCTTCTGTATAAAAATGTATAAATAATATAATAATATATGATTAAGATACTACTTACAAATTATCATTTTTTTTCTTACTTTAAATTTACAGTCCTGTGTGTGTATGTCTCAACGGAGCCTTGTACATAATCTTTGTATCCTCCCACTGCTTCTACCAGAGAGTTGATAAAATTGTCTAAAAATCTACGTAGTCCCAATCTGACTATCAATTTCAGCAAGAATGTTCTATGATATAATCTGGTAGTTCGAAATTTTGCAAGTGTGTTTGCAGATATTATATCAGTATATATGGTAGTATCCATGATAGAACCATTTTCATATAATTTTATAATAGGTGAAAGGAATGTATCGGCTGTATCTTTTGGGCCCAATGTTCTGGAAGGAATAGGAATGATTAAAAGAAGTCTAGTAACAGTTTTCGAGAAGTAATACATTTAATTAACACACTTACTTTGCGATAGGATCAAAAAGATGCCATACTGCTAATACTGCACTATAAGGTTCTTCCATAATTCGTATTATATGAGGCACTATCAATTGCAAAGTGGCTTCTCTCATACCATCAGTATATGGTAACAAATGTTCTAATTCTCTAGCAATCGCTTTTACTTTGCATTCATTAATTTTACACAGATACTTTATCTTTGTTTTTATTGCAAAATCCATATCGTCCTCATTCTTCACGATAGAATTTAATTCTTGTACCAAACCATTGTATTCTTGCAACATTTCCACAATGTTATATAAATATTGGCAATATTTAGAGAATGGGAACAGACTACCAGATAAAATTGGTTGAAGAAATTGATGCGCAGATGGTGGTGGAAGGCCCATGTATGTTATTGTGGGATAACGAAAAGGAGTTTCATTCATCTAAATATAAAATTTCTTACCATTATTATTGTAATATAAATTCTACAATATATTCTATATTAATAAAATATTAAAGAATAATACATTTAAAGATTTAACTGGCTAAAGTAGAAACAAGAAAAAGAAAATCTTAATCAACAAATTTGCAAATTAATTCTTTTTAAAATATCAATCTTTTTTTATAAGCTATATTTTTATATAACATGTATACTATAATTAATATCTTAGGAAATTAGGAGAATAAAAAAAAATTAAATAATGAACCAAAGAAATAGACAGATTAATAAAAAGTTTTAAAAAATCTTTGAATGCATAGTTAAATCTTTATCTAATTTAATTATAAAAAAACATATTAGTATATTATGAGTATATTATGAGTAAAATTTTAAAATATTACCGTTGAAATATCATTCATTTCTACATTGCCTATATTATAACTCTTTGACATAATGTCGATTTGTAACAACAAAGATACAATGTTTCTTATACATTTCGGTAAATTATCTGCTGATGTCTTCAAAATATTTAGACACGTTGCAAATCTTTGCGCAAATGATACTTTTTCAACATTCCAAATTGCACGAAATTTGCCAGCTAGAAATATCTCTACTATTAGACAACCAAGTATCTGTTGTTCCTTAATACGTCCACCAGCCACAATTTGCTTGTAATTCGTAGACAAATCTTGTGATACCACTGCAGGTTTGTAAATCCTATGATTGACCTTATGCATAAAAGTATGTGTAGTTTCCACTTGTATGAGGGCTGCAACAGGATTAAAATCCTTTGGAAGAATAATAGATTGATTAATGAATTTATCCAATTTAATGTTATCTTCCGAAAGCAAAGAACCTCTGGAACGACTCAACAAGCGACTCAACACAAGAGGCGATGATTTTGATGTATTCGTTACTGTCACAGATAATTCTTCTTCTTCAATACCAGAACTGTGACCTTCGTCGTCGCTGACTCGATTAGCAAGTTGATCACTTTCTATAATTGAAGATAACAATTTCAGATGCAAAAAATAAAATAAAATTGTAATTGTGTTGAAAATTTTTCAATTTAAAACTCATCAATTTAGAACTTACTATTCTTATTAGACGAAGGTATTGGTCGAAGACGTGGTGGAACTTTACCCCAATAAGGAGATGGAACAATTTTTTGTGGATGTGGTTGTGTGAAAAGTTGTACAACACCAGAATTAGTTAAATCAGTATGATTATCAACTAACTGTAGACAAACATTTTTTGATTTTATGGCAGCCGAACCAGACAATCTATTATAAAAAACACATAATGTAAAAATTTAAATAAATAATTGATAATTCATTAAATAAATCGTACTTGTATCCAAAAGTTAAATCTATCCAGTGATGTAATCTTTCCGAGATATAAAAACTTTCCAACGCTTCTCTATGTTTTTCAATAAAATCCTCCGGAGAAGTCGCCCATGCGGGAATTTCTAAATCTGGTAAATCTTCGTGAATGGACTGTAAATAATAAATAATAATAATAATAATAATAAATAATAAATAATAAATCTCAAAAGTATCGAATCCAAAATATATTTTATCATTGTCAAACAATAAATTTATATCATGTTACCTTAAAAACATTTGGATCAGTAAAAAATTGTGGTATGCATTCATCAGGACTCCAATCATATAATCTTTGAATTGAAGCCGGGTATTCTCCAGGTACCCACAAAGGTCGTACATGTTTACAAAGTACAGATTTATTATATCGACGTGAAAGATATACATAATACGTAATCTCTGACAAAACATCAGATACATGGTGTCCAACCTACAAATTGTCACTGATTTTTCAATGTAAAACAAATTTTTTTTTATAAGGATAAATTTAAATTTTTTTATAAGGATAAATTTTTTGTATAAAGATAAAATATATAAAATTCATTAAACACTAAGCTTAATGATTAAAAATGTTAATGCTTATGCTATGTTACATATATTGATTAATATACATGTATTGCAACAAAAAAATCTATATTTATAGAATGTATATACTTCAGTTGACTGTGAATCAAATGTAAGATCCAGTTGCCTATCTCCCTTGTTTAATCGAAATTTTGACTTTGTCAAATCTCTCCAGTTTCCACCATTTCTAGAAGTAAAGTCTGTCACCCAAGGCATAACATGATGACAGCTAGGATCACCATATCTCCTTCCAGCCAAATTATTAAGCGCAATTAAATAATCAAAGTTGCTAATACAATTATACATCCACATCTCACACAATTCCTCAATATTCTTATTTAAACCAAAGTCAGTATTTGAGCAAGATATACCATTTTTTTTACCATAAGCACTGCTATCCCAATTTTTTTCTTTACTTTCTTGAGAAACATTTATATATTGATGATCAGGTTTTAGATAAATATTATCATCTAACTTTGGTAATACCTAAGAACAAAATCAACTCATATAAAACTTTCTCTTCATCTCATATTAAAATATAAATTTGTTATATAGATATTATTTAAAATATACCTGAATAGTAAAATCGTCTGTGACTAGTATATCACTAAGTGTAATCCCTCCTAATGCAAGACCACAATCATGTAAGTCTCTGGATAATCTCAATAGTTGATAAACTACAAATAATGGTTTTCCATGACTTGTATTAAGAGCAGCAGGACTATACATTACACATCTAAAATTAATATTTATAAGTAAAATATAAGAATATCTTGCAAATATTTTATATCTAATAATACAAATTATTTATAATATACTAACAAATCTGACAGCAAATTTAATCAGAAATTATTAACAAATTACATGAAATTTATTTGCATTAAGCTGATGTTTTGCTAATAAAGCTAATATAGTTTTTTAATTAGTAGAGGCTAATAAGTCAGAATTTCTCAAATATAATGTTAAATTATATAGCAAGTATATTTTTATTCTATCTAAAATTGATCTCTATTATCAAATTTTGTTAACAAATTATACTTATAACTTTCTATTAGCATTCTACCAATGGATGCATATATGCCAAATTTTTAATATAATAGGAAATATAAGTCAAATAAATGAGCAAATTGGATAAATAAAATGTTTAATATGAATAATAAATAATAGAACATTTCAAACTTAGTCATCATCAGCCATCAACATAAAAATGAAAATTAATAACAAATTAAGAATAAAAATTGAATAAAAAAGACTAAAAAAATTTTAATAAGTCACATCAAATGTTAGATGCATAAGCATATTAATTAAAACATTTAAAACAATTTGATTATTGAAATTGAAATCAAAGAAAAAAGAAGAGCTGATACAAATTATTAAATGGCAAATTTGATATTTTGTTTATAAAATTATTATCATTTTGTATCTCACAGAATCTTCTTATAACAAATTTTACTGTTTGAAATATTAAAAATATGTAAGAAATATAATATTTCTGTAAGTGTACTCACTCGCGAAGAGAGTAATTGGCAGTCTGCTCATAAAGCATTATAAATGCAGATGGTGTTTCTATGGCATAATGAATTGGTACAAGATTGCAATGTATTTCAGATAATCTACCATTGGATACTGACAAGACTATACCATGTTCCACTTGTATCAAAGTACATCCATACATTCTATTCAATATTTCATGCATAATAGTAACATCACTTACATTAGCAGTTATACTAGACTGTTCTTTTTGTTCAACAAAATTCCAAGGGTCTATATAAATTTTATAAGAAATTAATACAAGAGAAAGTATATTTGTATCAAAATATATTTTATTTGCATGAAAGAATCAAAGAAAAAAATTGAAAATTAGCAATAAGATACTAAATACATACTGTAATATTTCTTATATGTTTCTTTCCATAGATTTCGATAATTGGTTTCAGCTACATAATGCAGCAATTGCGAGAACATTAACTCTGCTTGATCCTTTGTACTAGTATTGGTAGGTCTTCCTCTTGGTAAAGGAATTGCATTTTTATATTGCTTTATATATACCTAATAATAAAACTTTATTTGATATTGTTGATATTTTTATATTTTATAAAATATCAAATATCAAATTAATATATATAAAATATATATAAAAGCTATTAAGCATACTTTTGCGTAAACTTTCAACCAATCATCACCCAATTCATCAATACTAGGCTGTGCTGCTATTTCATCTTTAGATAGACGATCATGACTGACAAATGTAAATGGGCCAACCGTTAAAAATCGAGATAGCCAGCTTTTGTGAATTGTCAAGCAAATTCTTTCATCTGCTAATGTCATATATTTCGTTGGTACCAGTAAATGTTCTCTTATTATATCCATTTTGTTTTGTGTTGTATTCAACCGTTTATAAATAGAAACTGCGATTCTTCTTCAGTTTTTGCTTTACTTATATTAATATAGATATAATAATAAAAAGTATAAATTATATCAATATAAATTGTAGCTCAAGACATTCTTTTCTTTCTTCTCCGATCAGAGCTGGCACTAGATTTTTAAATTAGAAGTCTATAACCAAATCAAATAAAATTTAGTGTACAAAATTGAAAGGAATTAAGAGCCATAGCTGCGTTCCGATTTATGTTCGCTTTTTCGGTTTTGACAATTTCTGTTCTGGATGCATACAGAAGAATAAAGTGTTCGATGGCCGCGTTCAGCAAATATAGGATGCATTCGTTTACACAGTGTTTTGTGCATCCACTGCTTTCTCAACTGTCTCTGCTGTCACTTGTCACGTGATCGAAATTTACCAAACGGATAACTGCGTAAATAACTGCACGGATCGTACCTTCCAATAGAAATTGAGCCGATTATTTAAATCATAAGTAGAGACAATTTTATACATAAATTTATATTCGAATAATTAAAATGTAATAAAACTTTTTTATTATATAAAAGATAATATTTTAATGATATTAAATTTAATTGATATAAATAATGGATATTATAAAAAATATTTAATCTATGAATTTTACTTAAAAGTTAGATATTAATTTTTTATGAATTATATTTATTATTCTTATTTTTCTTATTTCTTCTTATTTTTATTCTTATTTTTTCTTATTTTATTCTTATTTTTTTATTCTT